CCCTCAATTTTTTGTTTCCGCTGCAGTAATTATTTCGTAAATGCTAAAGTTTTTTGTGAACATCATAATCTTTTAAAACGCTACAGTTTTTTATTTGTGCTATAGTAATAATACTACAGTGATTCACTATAGCATTTGTTGTATCATGAATAGTGAATCTTTGAATCCTCCTATAATTATAGAAGAAGAGTAGATACGAAGTCATTTCTCATTCTTTCATTGTTTATGTATGATTATGCAAGAAGTTGGGTTTTATAGATACATAATAATAATTAGCATTCTGTAATTCTTCCATCTTCCTCAATGAGTCATGCTTGGATGATAACCATTGTCGTACATTACAAATTGCCCCCACAATTTTTTATGAACATAGAACAAAGTCCTTGTAATCGAGGACCAAATTTTGGAAGAAGAAAACTTTTGGATGGTGTGATATGTTCAAGTCAGAAAATTGATGATAGAATCGTTCAAGCAAGAGCCTTACGCTATCATGCAATCTCGTCAATAAAATGACAATAAGGTAGTAACATCATAGTTACGTGAGTAAATCATAACAAATGCATATTGTAAAAAGGAAGAAAGAGGGTGATTCTGAATCAAAGAGGAGAAAGCTTGATACTCATTTTAATAAATAATGTAATGATACATATTTATTTATGGTTCCTCTTATTGAAGGAAGAGTACAAAGCAGCCTGCATGTAACCTATAATATTACTTGCTCATCTTTCTCAAAAAAAGTTGCATATTCATCATCAATATCCATTTCTTGCACGCAGAGAAGAAAATGAGGTTGTGAAGTACAAATGAGGGTGTGTATTGGCAATTCCGCGCTCCAAAGTCTGAAATGCCAAGGAATATATCAGCTGCATGCTCATGCTTCTCGTTTTTTGCGCAAGCTTCCATAACTGGCAGCAAAACGATATCCTCATTAGTCATTGCTGCAAATATTCACAGTAAAACATGTCTTTATTTCTCTAATCTGCAATTGATATATAGTTGTAAAATTCAGTGATGTTGAACATAGTTGAGTCGGGGTTTTTTTTGGTGGGGGGGGGGGGGGGGGCGTTCTAACAGTAGTTAAACACTAACACTATCAATCCAGTTTTAAAAACGATTATTAAAAGACAATTCGCAAAGTCTGTTAATTTCTTACCCTGTACTAACGAATCACCAATAGTTAAGTATTCATAGGTATCCTCCAATTTCTCTTTTCCTTCTTAAGCGTTTGAAAGAGTGTCAAGTTTTTCAAGAAATATAAGCTTTACCTACCTCCATAACCATAAGCCATTAGCATTTAGCCAATTGCAGTTGGATCTACTATCTGCAATCCAAAAATACATCAGTACTTATAAAATTTTAGGAAAAAAGGATCTGTAATTATTTTGATGTACCTTAAAGCATACTGGATTTGTTGTACAGATGTCCTTCTTATGGATTCAAAAGAATGGAAGAAAATAAAATAGAACTATATATATGGAGCAAAAATTTCGTACTTAGCAAAATTTGTTGTACAGATGTTTCGTTTATGTGTACATATTTTCATGCATCACTTGCACTACTGTGATAACACTTATTGTTGTCTTTCTTAATTTCAGCATTGTTCTCAATTTAAAGAATTATTGTTAAGTTTCAATTGAATGTATTTATGCTTAAATGCATGTTTTCTCTACTTTTGCTAAGTTTCTAAACTTAAATGCAAAATAAGTTAGATGTACTTATATTGTATGAAACCTAATTTTCTTTGTAATAAAAATAATCAATTATATTAAATGGATAACTTTCACGTACAGTCCAGCACATGTATTTGAGAAATTATAAAGATTATTTAATCACAAAATATGATAAGGATTAATGTATGATATCAGTATCAGAGATCAGAAAACACAATTCATAGTCACATTTGTATTATAAATTCAATGCATATTCAAATAAAATATAAATTCTAAAATCATAGACAACACAGACAACACAAACGTATGGTGAATGGCAATAAAGAATGAGTTCTTTCAACAAATAAGCACTTCCAAGTGACACTATATTATAATTATATAAACTCATGATGGCAATACGATAGATCTCCATGTTAAGTTTAAAGAGTATCAAAGCAAAATAAAACTTGAATGAAAAACAATAAGAGCTTTCTATACACCCTTGTTTATAGCTGAGACAGACCAAAAGGTTCCACGGCTCCATATATATAGTTCTATCTTCAGAGAGAGAAATCATAAAAAATCATGTATCAAAAAAGTAATTGCATCTAAAACTGAAACGTAAGCAAAAAGGGGGAAAACTCTCTTCAGAGAGAGAAATTGAAGGTTGCGAGGGTTCTTCTTACCCTATAGTGCTAATAAAATTTCACAACCATTAAATTGAAGATAAACTTGAAAACAATAAAATTCAAACTGGAAGCCTAACTTAACTCCTGCAAAAAGAAAAGGCGAGGAGATATAAATTATCTCAAGCGAAACAAATTATGAGACTGAAGAACAGAATTATAAAATATTTGATTAGTCTCAAGTTCTCTTGAGCAGACAGTAAAAATTTAAGCAAGGGGCAAAAAAATAATTAGATTAAGTAATAATCAAAACAATATATCAAAGAGTAAGTATATTGTAATCCCCTTAGTTTGTGATCATCTTCATAATTACCTAACAGACTTCTAGAGGCAAGAATATAAGAAATCATAATAAATGCAAAAGGCTAGGAGAAACCAAATATCATTACATTGCATTGACCTTCAATTTATAAATTCAAAAGCTAATCAAATATATAAGTAATGCTTAGTAAAATTCATATAAACCATCAGGGACAAAGATTAAGTACATCCTTAGTAAAATATAACCTCCACTATAAAATATATCCATAAATGGTACCTTTATCATCTATAATTCTGTTAGTATGTTTCAGAATTAGTAAAAAAATATTGACTATGGAATTAACACTCGGTGGCTTGACCTAACCTTTCAATTGACTCCGTCAACCTCATCTCAATGGAATGTAGACTCTTGGAAATTGACTTTGACATGATCAAGCTCGAGAATGTATCTTGCTTCTTTGACTTTGTCAATTGTTTTAGCTTCTAGTAACATTAGGAATAATAAACATGAATGCCCCATTAAAAGGTATTGAACTACTAAGCTTTGATGCTTAAGAAAACAAAGCTATAGAAAATGAATATCACAAAATAAAGTAAAGGAATTTGAAGGCAAAGTTATCTCATCGCAGTTATATGATGCTTAAGCTAATGTTGATACTCATGCCTTAATTGTATATGATTCTTAAACTAATGTTGATACTCATGCCTTAATTGTAACTGAGATTTTATTAGATTTGACAATTTTGTACATGGTATTTACAATAAAAGAAAAGGGAGAAGCTTGTGCATTAAATCTCATATTCATTAAGGGGGTAAAATAAACAGAGAGGAAGATATTTCTTTCAGTTTGACGAATCATAATGAAGGAAGAGCTAAATTATACAAAAAAGTAAAAGATCCATACTATTGCCACTTCTTGATGAGAAGCGAGCGTAGTAAATGAATCCACCACATTCAGCAACTGCAATACTAAAGGAAATGTTTATAAGAATCATAAATAATGGAGATGCAATATTATACACATATGAGAAAGAAAATATGTATAAATGATTTGTTAAAAAAACATTTATTGAAAAAAATATAAATACTCTACAATGGTTATAGTTATAACATCTACAATTCTGTAAATGAACAAAAAGGTATCAAATTAATTTGACTTCAGATCCTAAGAAACCAAATTTGATAATAAAATTAATAAAATAATCAGATATAGTAAATTGTCATACATAGAATGTTGGCATTCCCCTTCAATCATGTTTCAGCTCAGTTTAATGAAAGCAAGAGAGGTATATGGCTAAAAGAATATCATTGTATAGCTTGGTTGTGGTTTAGTAAACTGTCTAGGGTCAACTGTGTTTGAACTTAGGAAGGAATCCTCTGAGCCATTTTTCATTCAAATCAAATAGAATCACGTGTTTACTTTTCCTTTAAATAGAATCACGCGTTTACTGTTCCTTTAACAATTGTTACATTCATGCATTCTTTGCTACCAGAAAATATATTTTCTGAATTTTTTACTGTGCTGGCCTTTCTGTAGTTTTTTGCATTTGCCGACCTTTCTATTCAACTTTGCAGGCAGGTAACATTTAACAGACATAAGTGTTCAACTTACACACGCACATGGGCTCTTTATATTTAGAAGAAAACCAATTGAAAATTAAAATTCATAGAAAGACAATTTTTTGCATGGAGTTCTGTTGTCATTCTTTTATCCTTGTCTGCACAACCTTTTGGTTAAATCCTCAAAATTCTAATTTCTGGCTTAATGTTCATTTTGTTCTTTTTTTTACTTTGCTGCTGCTGGTGTAGGCATAAATATGCTAAAACATATCCATTTGCTGCTGGTGGTGCAGGCATAAATGTGCGATGTAAGGATGAGGTCTCGAAGGAGGGAAATTTAACATGTGTGATGTAAGGATGAGTGTAATTGCCAGTGGTTTAAAGGGGAAGTCTGATAATTTTAGTAAGCATGCACATGGATGGATTTCCATCAGAGCAATTGGTTAAAAAACGGATTCTTGTACAGTCAAAGAGATCACATATGTCTGAAGATACTAAGGATGGAGTCGATGGACATGCAACTGATAGCTGTGATCCATTTGCATTTGATGAAGGTGAGTTTGAACCCTCAAAATGGGAAACATTGGCTAGAAAAAAGAGTACATCTCGTCAGAGTACAACAAACAAAATCTGTGTTAAGGGTTGTGATGACTTCAGCATGGATATAGAGCAGATGTTAAGTGATTCAACTACAGTAGATAGTCATAAATCATGGGAAGAAGACTGCCCCTTAGTAGCCCCAGAAGATTCTAACCTGGTAGAAGACTGCCTTCTGGCCGCGGTCAAGGTAATTATAATGATCCATATTGTCCTCACGTTAGCTTATGATCATACACGTACATTAGTTGTTTAAATTCATGCAAAATATTATCTACCATACATGTTGTAACTTTTGGGCAGGGATGATATGTACATAATTTGTCTGTTAAGAAATAAGTATGAAAGTAAACTGAGAAAGTAATTAAGGCTTTACATTTCTTGTAATCAGATAAACCATAGAATTTCCAGAATTCCAATGTGGCATAAGTCTATTATGCTTCATTTACTCTTTTCTTTCTCTCTATGCAACAACTCTCTTTTCTGGGTGCTTTTGAGTGTACTATTTCGACTGTAAGCGCTAACATGATTGAAGGAACTACACATTCCACTAAATATCACTTAATCTAACAATATAATTCAAAAATTCAAAAATTACATTATGTTCCAAGAAATTCAAAATAAATTGGAAAATGAGTTGAGAAGAGATACCTTGTTGTCTTTGTCTTCGAGTTCTTTGGAGTCAGAAGCCTATGGAAGAAAAAGAGGACTTAGATCTGAAGTAAACAGAACAAATATGACAAAATCAATACATCATCAAAGAAGACTTTGATCTGAATCCACCTGCAATTTCCATCACTAAATTCAATACATCATCAAAGAAGACTTTGATCTGAATCCACCTGCAATTTCCATCACTAAATATCATCAATCAGGACATAAAATCCTCATAATCAATCAATAAATCCACCTGCAATTTCCATCACTAAATATCATCAATCAGGACATAAAATCCTCATAATCAATCAATACCGTTCAACAAAGGGTTATGATCACTAAATTTAAGGAATTATAATCCAGCAATTTTAAGGAAATTTTTTATTTGTGTTCACCTGTTGATACTTGAAGGCACATTCTCAGATGACATGATCACAACTGGGATATCCTTGAGGCGATTGTGAATATTTTCAAAATAAATAAAAGACAAAATTTTTAAAAAGTATATATAAAAAGCTCACATTTTGTTCAGGATGAGTAGAAGAAGAACCAGAAGATGATGAATCTACTTGCTCATCTTGCTGCAACCCAAGAAATTCTAGAGCTTTGCTTCCAGAATCCACAGTAGTAACTGAAACATCATCGAAACAATTAGTAAAAAAAGAAGGAAAATTGAGAGCATGAAAGGATAAAATTAGCAATCTTTGAAGGTTAATTCAACAAATCCTGCAAAGAAAATCAACCTCAAAAATCACTCAGCATCCACGCTGCTCTCCCCACTCAAATCAACCTCTTCAACGCAATGCTGGAAAACACTGCACAAAATCAAAATAAATTTCACAAATTCCAACAGAAAAGATCCAAAATAAAAAAAGTTAGGGTTAGGGTTTTGAACGGACTCGAGGAGGGATGGATAGAGGAGGTGGCGGTGGTGGAGGCGGCGGAATAGGGCGTCGGCGAGGTGTGAGGGCAGGCGCTCCAGTGTTCGCTTCTGACGTCGCCATGTCTCGACGATGGTGGCCGTTGACGATGCCGAAGAGAGGATAGGACCTGATAAGGATCGAGCGGTTTGAGCTTAGGTTTGGGGATCGGCAATTGTCGAGCCTCGGGGATCGGAAGGCCGAGATCGTCTTCGATGATTTCTTGAGGTGATTTTTTTATCTCTGGTGAATGAGGATAGGGGTGAGAAGAGGGGGAATTATAAAGGGGTGTTTTGAAATTTGAAATTTAAGCTGATACGGGATATAGATGTGGATGGTATTTCGTGGAAACGAAAAAATTCACTGTTCAATTTACTATAGCATGAATAGTTATTCTTTGATCCTCCTATTTGTATAAAGGAATATATATATATATATATATATATATATATATATATGTATGTGTGTGTGTGTGTGTGTGTTTATTAAAAAATATTTCTATTAATAGAACTTTGAAAGATTGTTTTCTACTCTAAGTAGAACATGCAAAAATTTTATTACTTTTAGTTGGAAGTTTAAGTTAGGAATGTAGTGAAGTAAACTACTTTAAAAATTATTTCTTTAGTAGATTATTTAGAGTTTTCATAAAAGGTTAACTTAAGTAGAAAACTAACTCAAAATTAGTAATTTAAAATTTATCATGTACATCAATTATTAATTAGCTTTATTAAGTTGGTAAGTGATAATTATTTTAGGAAAATAAAATATGGAAAAAGGAAAAATGGTAAAATAAAGAGAAAAGATGACTACTCCCTATGTCCACACCTAATTTTGCATTGTCCTCAATGCAAGCTATATGATGTATAAATTAAAGTAGATAGAAAATAAAGTACTCATTTTTATTCGGTCGACCTAGAACAATGATAAAATCTTAATTACCTTTGGTATGAAGAGGATGTAACCATAATTTCCTTTTCCCCTTCTCTATTTCTATTTTTTTCCTTTTTATTTTGTTTTTTCTTTTTTCTTTTACTTTTTAAAAGAATAAGAAACTCTCAAATGAGAGAAGAATAAATTCTTATTATTATTATTTTAAGGCAAAGAGTAAAAATTAAAAATAAAAAGTTCATACTCTTTATCAAATCCTACCTAATATCTTAAAATTCTACCCAAGATTTCAAATAAGTATAGAAAGATAAACTCAATGATATGCTCAAATTTTACATATTGTGAGGTTTTGAAAGTTTTCTTCAGCATTTAACGATAGCTAGGTAGACGGCTATGCATTTTAAATTTTCGGTGTTGATCAAACAGAAAGCAAGTCTTAGATTTTGACTCAGGTTCCATATGAATAGAAGTTTGTCCTAACACAACTAGTTCTTTAAAAATTTTCTCAAATCTAAGATTTATGATTGAGATATGATAAGCTAGTTTTTCTATATTTTCTACGAACCTAAGCTTATTAGCAAAAAGTTCTTCAGAGATGAGATCAGTGAAACTTCTCTCTGACTTATTATTTTCCTTATTAAAGACTAGTTATGATTCTAACTCTTATAATACTATAAGTTCATCAACAAAGATCTCCCAAAAACTCTGGTCTAACTCACATTCTTCTTCTAAATCTTCATATGATGTTCCCTGAATGAAGTTCATTTTTGGGGGTTGATCTGATGGACCGCTCGGCTGATTCCCTAAATTGAAGATGTTGAGATCTACGGTCATATTCTCAAATGATAATTTTATTTGAATGATTCTGCGATTGATCATAGCATTGAAAGTGGCTAATAATATACTTCCTAAAATTATAGGTACTTGACCTTTGAGATTGGAAACGAGTTGTGTTTCTAAGACTATGAAATCTACTAGAAAAATAAACCTACCAACTTTGATCAGAACATCCTCTAATCACTCCCTTCGGTACATTTATATATCTTTTAGCTAACTAGAGTGTAAATTTAGTTGGCTTTAGTTTACATTCTAGTAGCTATTAATAGATTGAATTAAAAAGAAGATTCACACTAGCTCTTAAATCTAGAAGTTCATAATCAAATAAGGTCATTCCTATGAAATATGAAATAGTAAGACAACTAGGATCCTTACATTTGAAAGGTATGAGGTTTGAGAGCATGTCACTGATATTGGCAGTGAGAAAGACTTTATTAGGAATATTAGTGGTTCTTTTTTTAGTACACAAATCCTTCAAAATTTTACATAAAAGGGCATTTGCTCAATTGCATCTAGGAGAGAAATGATGACCTAACCAACATAAAAGTTTCTAGGATGTTTTATACATAAGGAAAGTTTTTTCTAGGCCCAATTCTATCTGGAAATATAGCAATTGGTTTAAACCTATTAGAATTTGGCTTGGGTTCATTTTTAGGTTCTTGGTCATTAGAAAGGGGGATCGTTGAATAGAGTTATCAGAATGAGAGAGAGAAAGAGAGAGAGAGAGAGAGAGAGAGAGAGAGAGAGAGAGAGAGAGAGAGAGAGAGAGAGAGGAGAGAGAGAGAGAGAGAGAGAGAGAGAGAGAGAGAATTTGTTTAGGTTTAGGAATTTGACTCAAAAGCATTCTAACTTGATTATCTACCTGCTTTCCTCATCGTAGTGTATGAATTGTATTCACCTGAGCTTGGTAGGTAGAACTTGATCCAATATCCTTAAGGTTTATAATAGGTTGACTTACAAATTTTTCCTTCGCTCTTTCACTCGTAGTACTAGCTAATTGACCAAGTTGGATTTCTAACCTAGCTATGCCATAAGTATTAGAATTGAGTAAGTGACCGGTTCTGCATGAAGGAATTTAGAGAGTTAGAAGACTGAGTCAACATGTTGGTGGTACGTGTAGAAGCCTTTATCATGATCTCTAAACTATTTTCTAAGATATTGACACCTCTCTCGTGGTCAGAATTGGCGAAATAATATTCACTATTTGATGATGAGGAAGCTAGTTTGGATAACGCAAATTAGGTTATTAAAAATTGGTTGGTGAATTGAATAGAACTATGTTTCCTCTAGGAAATTGTTAGGTTGAAGCGAGAATAAAATTTAATTTCTAAATAAGTTTTCTGATTTCATGCAAAGTTTGATGATTTCTCCAATCTAGATTGTGGGTTAGAGAAAACAGATCATTCCTAGATGTTAGATTGTGGCGTTCACTTGACCTAGTGGTTGATTTTCCTAAGGGGGGATATTTCTGTTGGAGATAAATAGTTATGACACCCTCGAGTAGAAACTTGATTGATTTGAGCTAGGGCTCATTCTTTAATTTTTAAGGCTTATAACCTACATAGGATTGCAGCGATTCTTGCTTCAGAGGCTACTCTTGACCCTAGGAAAGGACCACTAGATTTGATTAGGGGAACTGATGAAACTTTTTCATCACAATGTTTCCACTACATGTTTTTTTAGACAAACTCTCTAAATATTCCCAACCTTCGTTAGCATTTTTATAAAATCCCTTTAATACATATATTCTAAGGATGACTTTGAAGAATAATTTAATCATTCATTGATGATCTGGCAAATCCGCCACTTTTCTTGACTACGTTGAGGACAGTAGACAAAAAGTTCCTTAAACCTACGAAAACACTTTAAGAATGCCTTCTCTGAGACTATTTAAAATTCTAAATGCTATGTTTAAGCTTTACTATTTTATGAATGGAGAAAAAGTTTCTCAGATTACTGCAACAAATTTATCCCAAGTTGAGATAGAATATGTCGGTAAACTATAAAGTTATTTCTTTACTTTGTCCTTAATAGCAAATGGGATAAATCTAAGCTTAATCACATCGTTAGATAACTCTCTAATTTAATCTTAAGACATACTTCCTCAAACTCCATTATAAAAATGTAGGCATCTTTGGATTCATTTCGTAAGGATTTTGAAAGCATGTTTATGAAGTGAGGTCTAAGCTTAAAATTAGCTCCATTAATATCAGGAAGCCTAATGCAAGTTGAGATTACATTCCTAGTTGGATAACGCATGCCTTGAAGAATTAGTGCATTTGGAATTGTCGTTTCCTTTATTTTACAATTGATTCAACACGTATTAAATGATTGATATTATCCCAAATCTAAACTCACACACACTAAGGGCTTGTTTGGATTGAGGGGAATGAGGGTGAAGGGAAGTTAGGGGAACTATTCACCTCCATTCACCTTGTTTGGGAACACTTAGGAGGTGAAGTTAATTCACCTCCATTCACCTTGGTTCACCCCCTAATAGTATAAAAATTGTTACCCCCCAAATTGGGGTGTAACCAAGGGGAAGGGAATTCCCTTCCCTTCCCTTCCTTTCCCTTCCCTTCCCTTCACTCAGTTTCCCTTAACTTCTCTTCACCCCCTACGAATCCAAACAGGCCCTAAAGCAAATTCTTTTTGGATTTTTTTGCTATATATAGATATCTAAAAAGAAGTTCTCTAAAAAAATAGTTATGTATTTCTTTTTTTTTCTTTTTTAGGTAAAAACTAAAAGACCTAAAAAATAAGTGAGAAAAAAAGAGTAGGAATAAAAAACCTAACTAACTAAATAAAAAGCAAACATTTTAAAATAATCACTCTTACTTCTAGAGTTAAATCTAGACTCAACTAGACCAGCTCCTAACTAAAAATTGCTTGAGTGAAGAGATTGAAGTTTACTTAGTTAATTAGCCGGGTAAGAATAATACTAGAGGGAGGTCAAAGACCAATTAAGTTTCTCTTTCCTTATGAAGTTGCTTTATGTAGGCCCTAAACAATGCCTTAGATAGCAACGAATTCAAGTAAACTTAAACCGGTTTACTTAAAAGTTTCTTATTCCTTAGTGAGCTCGAGTCCTTAGAGGCTAATGTCTAATGAGTTTTAGAAGGTTTGAGTTTGTATAGTGAGGAATTAATGATTTGTGAGCTAAGAAAAGGGTGATAAAATCCCTCATCTTATCTTGATTAGGGGGCTTTTACCTTCAAGAATATTTTTAAGTGAGTGCTTAAATCAAAATGCTCAAATCACTTTGGTGAATTTATACTAACTATATGCTATGTAACTCTAAGAATTAAAAGCAAGTATAAAAGGATGCAAAAAAAAATATTTTTATTTTTTAATTTGGGTCAACAATCAAATAAATGTAGGAAAGATAGCTCTTATTTGGATTTATTACCTTGTTAATAGTTGTTAAAGTGGATGGTAGATTTTATTATGGTCGGCAATAGAATTTTTTATTTTTTTAATACTTTCTAATTGTCTCTAATTGTGAAAAGCCAAACTAGAAGGTGTAATTGAAAAATACTCGAAAGATGACTTACTTTAACAAGCAAATATTCAATCATCAATCTTCTTCTTCTAGTCAATCCTTCATAATTAAAAAAACTAATCAAAGATTAAAAACAAAAAATTCTAATTACAAACATCGTTCTCAGCAATTGTGCCAAAAACTTGATAGGAGCATAGTAAGCATGCATTAAAGTTACAAGATGACGACTAGGAAGTTATAGTATAGTTGTAGTATCGATCCACAGGATGGTGTCTAGGAAAAATTATAAATTAGATCTTAGAAGAGGAGTGCAAGTATAGAGATATAGAGAGCGTGTGATTATTTGCAAATAAAAGAAAACTAGAACAAGAAGGGAGAAAGAGCATGAACATATAAAAAAATAAATAATAAACAAGGAAGTGAAATAAAGCAAATAGAAAAGAATACAATTAAGAAGATAAACAATAATCTAAAAGAAGAAAATCGAAACAATAAAAGGTAAGGGAAATCTAGGGGAGAAGATAGAAATCTAGAATTGAATCCACTAATTAATTTTATTTAGAATTTATGAACTGCATCTTTTTATTACATTTTACTTTAGATTTACTAAGCCTAGATTATCGAACTACTAAAAAAAGCATAATTTATTAACTTGTCTTTCAAGCAAAACTTCAATCATGAAAAGAACAATAACTAGATAAAAATCCTAAAATTTATAAGCATAACCTATCAAACCACTCAAGATAAGTATAAATTATCAAAAAATTTCCACCAATTAGTTCACTAGTTTATTTTTGTAAATATGATCATTTTAAGCATAAGAGAATAATCCAAAAATCAAAAAAGAAATCAAACTAGATTCATAAATTCTAGAATTCCTACAGGATTTAGTTACTCATTTTTCAAAATAAGAATAAGGAAATGAAATCTAGACTAGAAATCATAAATGAAAGATATCTAAATTATGATAAAAATAAAAAGTCACTACAAAATAGGAAGAAGAATAAGAAAATAAATATCTAAACTATGAGTATAAAGAAAATCCAACTAAAAAATAAAAGTGTAAAAAATAAATCTCCACTACAAAAGAAATACAAGAAAATAAAACATAAAAATAATAATTAAGATTGAAAAGGGGTGGACTCTTGGAAGCAAATATTCAACTTCATCTTCATCAACAAACAACAAGGAAAAATTTTTAAAAGGAGGAATTTTTTTATATATTGTAAATAAAATATTTATAATTTTGGAAGTCTTATCAATTTTAGTAACTTTCCTCTCTATAGAGTTTACAAAATTTTTATGTATTGCAAACAAGAAGTTAACAATTTGTTTTAGTTTCTAATGTGAAAAGTGTAACTAGAGGGTGAAATTGAAAATACTAGAAAGATCTCACCATTTTAAGAAAATCTTCTTATTCAATCTTTAATCTTCTAGTTTAGTCCCTCATAAGGAAACACACAAATCAAAGATCCAAAATAGAAAACTTATAATT